GCTTTTTTTTATTTTTTATTAAGATATTTCGTTTCTTTCTTTTCTTCTTTCTTCCACTTTTCGCTCTCGTTCTTCTCTTTTTCCTTCTCACTTTTCCTTCCATCTTAATAATTAAGTGAATTAATACTGAGAGAATCACGGTAGTATAACTATGAATTTCTACATTGCTTTATTTGTGGCATAAATTAAAAATTATGTCCGAAAATATTGATTAAAATTCATTCATTCCTTCTCTTTCATTCACATATTCATTCAAAAAGAAAACTGAGTTAACTTTAACATTTATTTACGCTCAAAACTTCTGTAAAATTGGAAAATGAAAAAGTGATAATAATAAATAATAATAATTTTGTGATAATAATAAATTTTGACTATTTTTCCAAGATAATGCGGACGTTTATCATCATTGCCTCATAATTATCTATCTTTCATTCCATAATTAATATTATATTAAGTAGTGCTAGAAGTTTTCATCTATAATTCTTTCTCTTAACGAATGCCAGTAGGAAAAATTTATTTTCAAAATTAGCTAATAAATGAAGTATGTTAATAGAGAAAAAAGAAAAAATTATTGCAGTCATTTTTTAGTAAGTAGCAATTTTAAATAGCATATAAAAATTCGAAAAAAAATCATTGCCATCAAGGCTTTGTATTATTTGCTCAAATGGGTGATAAATTTTTTTTTAAATAAGCTTTAATAAATTTATATAAAATTTTTGCTGGAAGAAAATTATTTTTTATTTAGCTAACATAAATTGGAAAAAAAAAGGAAAGAAATGGTATGTATTAAATAGTTGAGTGGGAAAATTTTGGTAAAATTTTCTAAAGTTCAACAATAACTAATAAAATCAAAATTTCATCACGATAATAATGATAATAGCAATAATTCGAAAAAAATATATATATTATCATTTTGCTTATCACAGTAAAATACATAATTTAGACGAAAGGATGGAAAAAACGAGATGATAAAATAATATTGGTTTAATTTAATAGTAATAAATAAATATATGCACGAATGCATTGTAATACTATATTAAACTTTAGCAAATTATTAATTTATATTATATACTTCATTATAATATTCTGCTATGTTCATTTTTTTCTACATTTTATAATTAATTACTGTTATTATTACTATTTATTAAACGCATATTCATATTCATATTGTAAAGGAATGGAAATAAGAAGAGAGGAAAAGCAAAAATAAGTATATGTATTTTTATTCGCCATTAAATCATTCTTATTATCATTGCTATCATCATCATCATTATCATTACCGTAATCCATGCTAATACTATTATTACTACTGTTACTGATATTTGCTTCTGCTATGACCACGACCAATATTACTAGTATTACCACTAATATAATCATTGCTATGACGATGACTACCACCATCCCCATCACCACCATCACCATCACTATCACTACCATCATCATCACCAACATCATCACCATCACCAACATCATCATCGTCATTATCATCAACTACCGTAATCTGAGGAGGAACGGTAGCAATGCTATCGGTCACGATGTCAGCGGGTTTCATTGGAGTGAGGTGGTGGAAGGTAGGGAGAAGGAAGTAGTAGTAGTAATATTATAGGGATAGACACAGAGATGGTCGATAGGGTAATACCAAAGGCACTCCTCCAACTGCTGGTAGAAATGGTGTACCACAGGATATGTGTGTATGTGTATGTGTGTATGTATATGTATGTGTATGTATGTGTATGTGTATATGTGCATGTGTATGTGTGTATGCGTATGTGTGCATATGTATATGTGTATGTGTGTATGTGTATGTGTGTGTATGTGTGTGTGTGTGTATTGGATGTGCATCTTTGGGGTGGTGTCCCTAAACGACAGCAGGAATAGACGGACGGGCACGAAGCTATCAATCATTGGGTGCCAATCGACTACCTCCTCATCTCCTCCTCCCTTCTCTTTTGCCTTTTCTCTTTTCTTGAATGGAACCAAACCGAATCGAACCGAATTCGAAATTCGATTCGAACCAAAAAAAAAAAAAACTCCCACCCCCTTTTTCTTAAAATTT